TTAAATCTAACAAGAGAATTAGTATGGAAGAGGTGTACATGCAGAAACGAGAGGAGATGGAGAAAGTCAGGAAGGAGAGAGAGGCGACGATAAAGGCTAAAAAGGAAGCGAAAGAAGAGGCCGAAGCTCGGAGGAAAATAGCCCGAGGGAATATGATGAGAAAGACTCGACATGGTCAACCTGTAATGAAATACAGAATAGAGCATCTTCTCGAATCAATCAAGAAATCTGCTGGAAACGATGGAAGCAGAACCGCATGACGAGCTTTCAACTCGGATACACTGGTCTAGTTCCTGCCAAAGATGTTACTACTGGTTTGTATTGCTGATTGTGATGGTTTGAGGTAACATTTGTAGTTTTCGGCTAGGCTTTGCAAGTACTATATTACCACATTGTTATTTTGGTGTTTCATTACAAAACTGATAAAAATGAGAGTTTTTATTCCAAACTTTAGTACAAAGACAAAAAGCTTTGCTCAACAGAGTACAAGCTATATCACTGGTGGTTCTAACATCTTAGTGTGCGTCAGCGTTCTCTTGGGGTGCGTCAAAAATCACTTGCAATTCTGCTCCCATTTGGTCATCAACATCAATCTCGTCTCCCTGGACATTTGCAGCAACATCGGCGGCGGCGGCTCCGGCCACCACACTACCGACCGGATGAATAACCCCCTCCTGCCCAGGTAGCCAATCCATCATAAAATGGTTGACGAGCCCACCAACATCATAATGAACCGTATTTCTTGACCAACCATTAACCAAATTGAGCAAATGGATAAATCGGGACTGAGTAAGGATACAAGTCATCGTTACAAATTGACCCACGACCTGCAAATCACAATAAATTTGTAAGTTGCTAAATTTTGTGAAAGAATAAAATAATCACACATTAAGCTATATATCTGACCTGTGCACCACCCGGGACGAACTGATGATGAATAATACCCATCTGACCAGGAACCCAGATAGTTGACCGTGTTAAGGGACCAGGAGTTCACTAAATTCAAAAGATTGGTCAAGCGTGACTGAGTTAGACTGCAGGTAACTGATACGAATTGTGCCATGTTATCTGTGAGAAGAATACAGAATTACGAGGCGATTTCTCCCAGAATAAGATCACAACCGGAGAATAAGCAAAGAAACACGTAGAGAAAGAAGTAACTCTTTGTTTACTCGTGATTTAAAGAACACAACCGGCGACGTTGAAGAAATCCGTTGAGCGAGAGAAGACGAAGAATGCAATAAGAAAGAAACAGAGTGTTCTTTGGACGCTAAAGAGAAGACAAAGAATGAGAATAAGCAAAGAAACAGAGTGTTTTTATTCCCTTATAATTACTGGCATTAAACACGTAGAGAAAGAAGAACCTCTTAGTTTACTCGTGATTTCTCCCAGAATAAGAACACAACCGGCGAAGAAATCTAAAGAGAAGACAAAGAATGACAATAAGCAAAGAAAACAGAGTGTTCTCATTCCCTTATAATAACTGGCAATAAACACGTCGAAGAAGAAAACCTCGTACTTTACTCGTGACTTATCCCGGAATAAGAACACAACCGGCGAAGAAATCCGGCGAAGAAATCTGTAGAAGAAATCTAAAGCGAGGCAAGAAATAAAGAGAGAAGACGAATAATGACAATAAGCAAAGAAACAGAGTGTTCTTTTGATACGATCTTTGAAATGGGTTTGCTGGGCCTGGGCCGTGAAGGAGAAGAACAAAAGCCCAAATCCATAATTCCTTTATTTACCGTTCATGCCATTATCAGAAACCACAGGGAGACCTAGATATTTCTCTGGGGAAATACATCGAACAGGTGGTGAGCGAACCATCTAAAACGGTTTCAGTCCTACCTTTTTCTATGGAGAATTTCGTCGAACACCTGGTAAGCGATCAAAACCAGAATACTCATATTGCCGCAATTGAAAACCAGAGTACGAAATCNGGATGGTATTTCGTACAAATGAAAAACAAACCTGTAGTTTGTCGCATATTGCCTTGATTGGTTGTGTGTGGGATCCTCGCGGGACACGGTCTGATAAACTTCTGGACGTGTTAGCTAAGTAATACAACAATCTAGTCTTACTACAATTCACTGTTAGAGAAAGAAACTGACATGGGAGAGATTTTGTTGAAGATGGCTCAGGACTTAACCTCAATTTCATACCAAGAAAGTTTCCATGGAGCTTTTACATCCGCAAATGCAGCTATTAATTTGATTGTTGACAGAGTAGAAACAGGCCTACTCTAATGTAGTCTTAGTTGTTTTCGAAGGTTTAAGAACAGAGTGTTTTTTGTAAATTACGAATTTGAGTTTTGTTATTTCACTTGATCAGGTGCAGGGAATTCTAAAGTCTTTACNCTTGTGAATCCTCCATCTACCACCAGATTATGCCCGTTTACGTATTTTGAATCATCGGATGCGAGGTAAACCNCTGCATTAGCTACATCGATCGGTTCACAAACCTCTCCATTTAACACTCCTGTGCTCTGCACTATCTGGATCAGCCTCGAGTCATCAACACCTGGGTATATCTGCCGCATCTCATCCATCACGAATGATGTTGTGATTGCGTGTTTGATTCCTGCGATGACTCCACGGACATTTGTGTTGATTACGTGCAAAACATGAAAAAGATCAGACAAAACTAAACTGCTCCCCGACCCGTTCTTTCGGATGCTCTCATTTAGATTAGTACCTTGTCGAAAACATTGAGATCAAGATCGAAAATGCTAGGAGGCGTTTTGCGGGGAATACCGGCATTGTTGTACATAATGTCAAGTTTTGTGTGGAGGGAGACAGCGAAATCAACCGCGTTAGCAATGTCTGATCTGATTCTTTGGTCACATCGCACGGGAAATAAGCAGCGTTTGGACCGAGTTCTTGCGCGGTTTCTTGCCCGAGCTGTGGTTGGATATCGGCAATGACAACTTTGGCTCCATGGCTGATGAATTTTCCTGCTGCTGCTTTGCCAATCCCACTTGCTCCTCCTGTGATGAGGGCTACTCTGCCTTCTAGCTTGCTTTTACAAATTTGTGATAGGTAAGGCTTCTCATATCTGATTCTAGAATGCAATATTTTTTAGTGATTTTCCAACTTAAGTTCTTATTTTATACATGAACATTTGACTTATATCAGAATAAAAAGTCAAGGGTTTGGCTGAATTTTTCTATGTAAACAATAAAATTCAGAGAGATCTGGTGGAGATTCGTTGGGGAGTTTCATTGGTACTTTGATATGAGTTTGTGCGGAGATCCATTCCGATACATCGTGGATTGCCTTGGTTACTGTGAATGATAGATTTTGGAAGATTTTTTCATTGTGTGACAAACAACCAGGGGGACCATCACTGATTTCTGATGGAGGTAGGCATATCAACTGGTTTGCTTAGAGGAGTATCGATTGGAAGTTGGGGATCATTTNTGAGGAAATGAGATCTTTGAAANCTNGGTTTTTCTAATGATTTTGATGTTTTATTCTCCTTTTTGTTTGGGNTCTATTTGCTCTANTTCTTTATTTGTGCTCTGTTTTTATTTGAACGAAAAAAAAAGATATCAAATACCACAAATCCTCTCAAATNTATACACCAAATCACACCAATTATACACCAAATCACACAACATGATTTTTTTTGTTTTTAGTTATTTAAAATCTAAACTCACCACATGTATCCTTAAAATCTACACCCCAAGCAGAGGAAACAGTTAGTTTACAATTCGATTCCAAACTCCCTTATAATTACGAAAAGCACCACAATAGTTTATTGGGCNGTAGAAGTCAGCCACGTCACGAGTACATGACGTCATCTTATCTTCCTCACTCATTCCGTCCACCAAAGAGAAAGAGACCCGTTTTTCTCTCTCCAGATAATCAGCGAAGTGAGCGATTACAGAGCGCGAGACGAAAGAATGAGCTCATGGGTTTGTTCTTACGTGACCCGAAACGTCGTAATCTCCGATTATCCACATCATTTCTCAATAACTCAACAGTTTGGGTTTCCGGTGACGTTTCGGAGAAAATTCGTTAGCTTTCCGATCACATATCCGCCGAAATTTCCGTTATTGAAGCTCCAAAAGTGTCAATCTTCTCCAAAATCGCTGACCCATGAAGGAGAAGAAGACTCAGAGTCAGTCGTACAAGCTCTCAAGATTCCAGACGAGTGGTTGCTCCCTTCTAGGGCCATTGAGGTGCTCTCTCTCTCACTTCGATCAAATGTCGATTTCAAGCAATTGATTTTGGTGTTTTGTTATTCCTCTGCTTCTGGTTTCAAATTTCCCCAACATTGCTTACTCGAATTTTGTTTTATGNTTGCTCAAATGTCGAATTTTGCTTTGATAATATGGTATGATTCTTTCGATTACTGATCTGAAATGTTTGAACAGGAATCTGAATGGTTGAGAGTAACTCTGCACAAATGGTTAGATGATGAGTATTGCCCTGAACCAACCAATGTGGAGATCAGTCAAGTAGCTGCAAAGTCTTACTACAATTCACTGTTAGAGAAAGAAACTGACATGGGAGAGATTTTGTTGANGATGGCTCANGACTTAACCTCAATTTCATACCAAGAAAGTTTCCATGGAGCTTTTACATCCGCAAATGCAGCTATTAATTTGATTGTTGACACTCACAACATCTATACATTAGGTTAAAAAAAACATCTAAACATCTAAACATTATTAAATATGATACGAACATGATGCCATTTTATACCATATTAA